AGATAGTAGTAGTACTGAGTTAAGTGCAATAAGAAACAAAATAGTAATTATTAAATATGGACAGTTTGCTCCTTTGTTTGCTCCTTTATTTCCTTGTTTGTTTGCTCATTTGGTTGGTGATACAGTTGCTTATTTTGCTTTTGCTGATTTGGTTGCTTATTTGTTTCAATTGCTGATGTGGTTGCTTCTTATTTGGTTGCTGGTTCTCACAATCCATMTYCTCACAATTCATCTCCTTGTAGTCAACTGAATCAAAGGAGAAGCTTTGGTCCATGTAGTAAGGATGTCCCCACTCATCATAGGCAAACTCTTTAGCACACTGAATGCAAGGCATGTAGTAGTTGTTTTCCCTCTTCATCACAGACCTATAGATCTCAAAGAACAACTCATGTTTATTGCCAAGGCTCATTGATGCTGGAGGCAACAGTGGCTTTGCAAATCTAGCAAGCTCTATTGCCTTTGTAATATCTTTCTTTTTCAAGCATGTCTTCTGTAAACAACCTGCACAGGCAGGTCTCATTTAGTTCTTTGTTATGTGGTGTTGACTTTTGGTCCCATTCCCAATCCTCCACCCACTTCCAGTCTTGATTCAATACAAATTGGACCCTTGGTGAAGGATCATCAATTATTTCTGGTGGAGGAGGCTCAGGAGCTTTGGGGGGAGGTGCAGAGGTATTGATTACAATTTGAATCTTCCATCCAAGTCCTGKATCAATTTGCTGTTCCTTTATAGCCTCCAGAACCTTCCGGGGGCCTTTGATGCTGGATRCCACTTCATCTCCATGTTGCCCTTTCCAATTGCAAGATTGCACTGTGGCATCCAGTGCTTGTAAGCACAGGCCTTGGGTCCTTTGTACACAATCATCTGGGCCTGATGCCTTGCCTTCTTTGTTTTTGCCTTCCTCTGGTTTAATTTTGCTCTCTGCTTTGGGTTACAACCAAACAAGATTGCTCCAGTGCGTCATGGAGGAACTGAATCAGGAGAGCTGAGGGGGTATTGTTGATATACATCCCTATGGAGGTCTTCCACAAGAAAATCTGGTGATTTGAGATGCTCAGTTTGCTTGTTTTGCTGGTTGCACTTTGCACTATCCTCCATTTTTAGCAGGGGTACTCTCCCTTATAGGGATCATTGTTCTCAATTGATTTAAGGAGAAAGAAATGGGATCAATGCATCGTGTTAATASCATGGAGAAAGGATTCTAGCACAGTTCCTTCTTGTGATAAACCAGAAAGAGAACAAATGTATTAAGTATTGCCAAGTTCTGAGTTAACACAATTATTRGTGGCCAAATTTAGTGAGCAGTTGGTCTGTTGAGGAGGTGCAAAGTGTCCTTTGTGGGACTGGACTGCGTTTAGTCTAACTAGTCATTATACAATAAAAAGATGGCCCTTTATCCACGCACCGTGTAATTTTAATAAGTGTTTTGGTCTTGAACTGACAGTTTGGGCTGTAACTTTGACCACAACAGGCACATAAGCACATGGTTAAAAAGAGAATTAAAAGAGATTTCTAATGCCATGGGGGAGTAGGGGGGTCAGAGAAGTATTTATCAATATACATGTACATATATCCAGCATGGTTGCACTTCCACTACACTCCTTNTTTCTAATGCCATGGGGGAGTAGGGGGGTCAGAGAAGTATTTATCAATATACATGTACATATATCCAGCATGGTTGCACTTCCACTACACTCCTTGGAGGGAAGTGCCACCCCTGGGTGCGACTAGCAGCATTCTTTCCACCAAAAGCTATGGTTCTGGCCATATAGTGCCTCTTCTAGTTCACGAGGTTAAATATCCAGCATTGCTAATGTAGGACTGGGTCATCTTTTTTTGCTTGGCCAAGCCTATTGTATAGTGTTGGCAGCCAAATGTACAATACAGTTGTACCTTTTGGGCCATCTAATTACTGTGTAATGATTACTTTGACTAAAAAATTATATATACAAAATCCATGTGCTCAGTACTACTCAAATTTTTGAATCCCACATTCATGCAACCAAAATAGTTTTGCTCACAYGTGCGTGCTGTAGGCCTACTAGTACAAGTAAAATTTTAATCCCACGAGTCATTACATGGTAATTAGATAGCCCAAAATCAACACACCATAGAAAAACATGTAGAACATTAAGAGAGGTTCAACTCACTCCAATAGCTGTATCTTTTTCCCCATAAGTATGGTAAGCACATGGTTAACAAGAGAATTCAAAGAGCTTTCTAACGCAGTGGGGGAGTAGGCTGTCCGATGAATATTGATTGATATACATGTACGTACATCCAGCATTGCTAATGTACGACTCAATTGGCCAGAATAACTGCGCCAACGCTATATGATATGATACTACTASTAGTAGTAGCAGTAGGTCCTCATAGTAGTTTTTGTGTGGAGAGGGAGAGGGGCGCTGATACAGAATGCTGATAATGAATGCTCATACTGAACGCTCATACAGCAGAAAGCTGACAAGGAACACTGCTGATAAGGAACGACACTGCTGATGCAGAACTCTAGTACTAATGCATAGAACTTTAATGTAAAATGGTGCCATGCTAATATGTACGTCCAAGAGAGTGTTCTGGACCTCTTCCAGCCTCCTCACGTGACGCTAATTTTGAGAATACTATGCACATTTCAAAATAAGTAAATGCCTCTTGGCGACTAAATTTATAAAAATACACCAGACAATTCAGGGGCAACTAATTTCAGATAGTTTCTGTCCTCTATGTAACTTCAATTTCCAAAACTTTCTAATTTGAGAAATCAGAATGAAGATTATTTGTCTATTTACTTCTTTCAAGGTTAGGGATATGTACAGGGAAATCATTTCTAATCCTYGTTCCTTTCGTGATGTTGCCTCATCTATACAGAACCCATCCTGCACAAAATCTGCAATCATCATTCCTTCCATACACTGAACAAAATRTTTTTTTGCATTGAAACAAACTTTTGTTCTATTGTTGTCACTATTCTTCTTCTCTTCATTTACTCTTGTTTTTACTGTTGCTGCCTCCTGCAACCAGAACCCCTATTGTATTCTACTGTGGTGGTTGTTGGGAAMTAGAAGGGAAGAAATCAAAGTTCAAAGGCTATAAACCCCAATCAACTACTCATGTAACTGTCAAATATGTCATAGCAGGATTAAAAAGATATATCTCGCACAATTCAGAATGCTATTCTGTCTACAAATCCCAGAACCCAATTAAAGGAAGGGACATCAATTTTTCTATTTCAATGGAGAGCAAACATCTATTTGTCCCATTCACCATTCTCCAACTGAT